CCCCAAAACCCCAAAACCCCAAAACCCCAAAACCCCTGACAATATTTCATCGATTGAAAATTATTACAACAGGAATCGGGACTCAACCAGTGTCTTGGTAGCTAAGTTTCTGGACCCGAAGAACTTTCTAGGGAACTCGATGAAGATCTTGTAGAAGAAATAGATGACCACAGTGGATTGTCAGAAGTTTAACTCCCAGATATCGAGGCCAGTGTAGAAGCAGGCAATCAAAATAAGGATATCAAAATCAAGAGCTCCAAAGAATACCTTTCTGAATCCATAGAAATATTCTTTTAAGAACATGGGCGTCTCCATGTGATTTAATGATTCAGGAGGGAGATCGCTAAACATCTGACAGATTCCTCTATCTCTAACTGCTGTTGCTGGGTAATTTTTGACTTGTGAGACATAATTGATGAAATACTGAGAAGCCTCATCCCTTTTGTTCATTAGAGCTTGGATGTTCAATCCCTTTGGCAAAGCTGCCAAGCTAAATAGCCTACTAGAATTCTCAATAGCGCTCATATTTTGTCTATGGTTTGAAATTTCATTGAGAACATGCTGCTTATACACAACTTCGTACAGTTGTCTTACTCTGACAGGTAGGAAGATTTCAAATGTCTGCATGTTAGGATATTCTGCTAGGAGCCCTCTTTGTGAGCTCTCTCCTCGATTTTCCTTGTCAAGATATCCCTGAAGCTCATGTGTTGTGACATCTGATTGACCACAGGTAGAAACTCCATGGATATAGTACCCATGAATCCTCTCATCAAATATAAACACAGATAGGTTAGTGATAGAGCATAGATCAACAAATGTCTGGAATGGTAATGGAATCAAGAAGGAAAAGATCCACTTCAGACTGTACTGTATAAATCCGATTGTCAGCAACAATATGACTGTTATTCAAAATTTCAGATACTCATTGATATGGCTATCCTTGATATGAGCAGTAAGATCAGGATCTTGCGCGGCCCATCCTTCCCAGCCCTCACCTATCATAAAGAAACAAAACCAGAACAGGGTATACTCGACTGAAATGTACTGGGAATGCTGCATCTCGTTATACTCATTAGCAACAAAAATAAGTCTCCAAGCGTTGGGACTGGTCTCTGTATCTTCCTTCTTCTTCTCTCTATCAAGGAAGAAGATGTCAATATTGCACTGGTACCAAATTCTTCCCCAGAGTGCAAATACTTTGATGCCAACTAGAAGTCCAAAAATGATGTCAAATGGTCTGAAAATAGCCGATCTCCCATAATTATCCGGCAGTAGGATATAGAACGCTGTTTCAAACTTGAACAAGATGAACCAGATTAGCGAAGCCAGGAACAAGAACCAGAACATGAAACTTCACCAGGCGTTTAATATCTCATACAGGATGATTCTTCCTATATAGAACACGAATTCAGATGATTCATAGTTCTGAGGGTGTAAAGTAGTCCATTTGTAGCATTTCCATACCACCCAGATAAATATGAGCACATGAGTAGCGATTAAGAACCCGAGCAAGAGCCTACGAGGGTAATTAGTTGACATCTTCCATTGGGTTACCACAACTATTGGGGTCGGAGTATCTGAAGTCACGTTTGTAGTACTAATAGTCCTATACCACAAACGAAGATATGGTACATGAATTTGTTCATCAGAATCAGTATCAATCTCAAATACAATCCTAGACTCATGTATAAACCTGACATATCCAGGTGGCTTTGTTGGGTTAAGGTACTCTCCTTCGCCGACGATAGCACTGACGTTTTCATAAAGGAAGAACCGCCTGACGAATTTCCAGTCAGCAATACTTCCGCTATCAGAATTATCAAGAGCATTATTTATTAAGACTGGGACGTCAATCAAATCTCCGTTGTAGTCTTCAAGAAACAGTTCGAAGAAATAATTCAGATTGTCTAGATGCTTGGTCCTATCCACAAGATCAAGGAGGTTAAAATCACATTTAGTGACAAGACCAAGACCAACTCTTCTGTATCTCTCTGAATCTTTAATAGTGACTGGGCACATAAATATCTGGTTAGTCAGATCTTCCCATCCTTCAAAGTCTCCTTCAAGTGAGTACTTGGCTAACTTGAAAGGAACGTGAGCGTACCTGACAGCATTAGCATCATCTGTTGACAGAGTCATCTTTACCTTGACTCTGTTCTTATTGTATATCACATCTCTGCCATTTTCCAAATAATAGAGCCAAGGAATCCCTGTCTTCCACCCAGCATCATTATAGAAAGTATTTTGTTGGCTTGTGGTGCTGTTAGCTAAATCTTGTAAAGCAGAACAAGGAGCCACAGCCTCATTATACATATGAAGTACACATAAATTAGCCAAGGTCTGGCATTGCTTGAAATACCTAAATTTTAGGCATTCGTACATGGCTTGAGGAAGGAGCCATTCCATTGTATTTATGCTATTAACAGTAGCAGTCCTTGAGTTAGAGCCTCCAGAGATCACACCTGTATATCTCAGTTCTGATGCAGTGGCAAGAGGATAAGAAGTAGTCACAATAGATGCATAATCAATACTATTAACACAGAAGCTTCCTTGAGCAGCCTCTCCAGTCTCTTCGCAAGCACATGCTCCAGTCCCTGCGTTGATCGTTTGCCCTTCGAGAGTTCATACTGTACAATTATGTGTAGCAGCTGTTGTGAATTGAGAGAAGTACCCCTTCGGTCATGTCACGCATTCTAAATTTCCTCCTGATGTTGATGCCTCGCTTAAATATTGATTGTTAGTACATCCTCAATTGGTGGTTCCTCAAGTGATACATTCATCCTGGATCAGCCGAGGTCCTTGACCGGTTGGACAACTAGTACAATCTTCAAGTCCGCTTTGCCAAGTATTTGCAAGTATTGCAGTTGCTGGGCAAACTCAATTAGTAGACACAGTATACGCAGTAGGACAAGTTGTGCATACAAGCTGTGTAGGATCAAAGTACTCGTTTGTAGCACTGCAGGTAGTATTCGCAGTTATAGTTGCACTGATGGCAACCTTCATAAATAGAACTAAGAACAAGAGCTCCATTTCCCACGTAAATTATTTAAATTATTCAAATTATCCGCATTGATATGGGGTTTTGGGGTTTTGGGGTTTTGGGGTTTTGGGGTTTTGGGGTTTTGGGGTTTTGGGG